AAAATCTAATGCTGAATGGTTCAGACTGACGAATGCAGTCAACAAAAAAGACAAAAACATTTTTTTCAAAAATTATATATTTATGTTCAAAGAGTCCAAATGATGTCACTTCTCATGCATCATACTTTAAAATAATGCTACAAATGTTGTTTTTTGTGCTAGAGAGAATCGCACATTCAGAGTACTTTGAAACAATCTACTTCTCCAGGGTAATAACATGTTAGATTATACAAAACAAAATGCGATTTGTGCCTCTAATGGTCATGTGACACCAAAGTGTATCATATTCATGCAAAGTGCCTTCAGCTGCCACAGGTCTGGAGTTTGAGTGCTTTTTCTCTCTCTTGTGATGAAGATGAGCAGTAATTTGGCTTTGACACTGATGCCTCTTCACAATAAGAGCTAAGAGAACCGAGTAATGTCATATCAGACATTCCTCATAGTGGGCAAGATGCTACATGACTGCCTTTCAGGCTTGGGCAAATATGAGGGAAATGATCAAATATGATGCCATGCCAACTATTTGTGCTGTTAAATTGTTATATCAGTCAGCACACATTGAGGGTAATTTTCTGTTTGAGTCTCAGCCTTCATTCTGAGCTGATAAAAGCTTCCATTAGCATGACCTGATGCCAGCGCGCTCTTTCTTATATTTCATCACAGTTGGATTCCCAGGAGCCGGTTTGCTCAGACTAATGCCAAACACATACCACGAGGCAGCAGGTCGGCACCCTCAGCACATACAAAGTCTCAGTTTCTCGTTTTCTGTTGCACATTTTATGCAACCAATAACTATGGAAGACTGTTTCTGCCATGGAAAAAATTTAAAAGGTAATTGTGACTTTATCTCAAAATTCTGACTTTTTCCCTCAGAATTGCAAGTTTATATCTCTCAATTCTGAGTTTGTGTCTAGCAATTCCGATAAAAAGAGACAGAATAGTGAGATATAAACTAAGAATTGTAGGAAAAAAGTCTGAATTATGAGATAAAAAGTTGCAATTACCTTTTTATTTTTAACATTTTAGCAAGCAAATCACAGACTACATGGGCTTTCAATAGATCAATAAACACATACATCATATTAAACAATTAAGCATAAGTTTATGACCTACTAGCTAAATCTCGTGTTAAGAATAAATGGTGCAACAACATAAAGTCCTAGTTAGTTGCGTGCATGTGAAACCTCAGTGCTGGAGGCTGCTGTGTTTGGACCCTGGCTTCATTCTGCAGGGGGTAAATGAAGCGCAGACTCTGGATGCAATTTTACATTTTATAGTTCCTTCATTAAACACTAAATGAGAGCTGCTGGTTAACTGATCGCTGGATACTTTAAACTGTGATGATATCCTGTGCACATATCTAAAGTTCACATGAGTGTATTAATGTGAAGAAATATGCATGCACACATTCTAGACATGACATCCGAAAAAATAAATAAAATAGTGAAATAGTAAAATAGGTGAGATTTTTTTTTAGCCAGATTGCATTCAATTGATAAAAAGAGCAAAAATTCTAATAAATGTTGTTCTTTTAAACTTTCATTAAATAATCCTGAAAAAAATCCTGACTGAAGTAATGGCTACTGAATAAAATAAAATAAAATAATAAAAGTTAAATATTAAATAAATGTAAAGTTTTACAATTGTAATAACATTTCACAATATTACAATTTTTTTACTGTATTTTAGTTCAAATAAATGCAGCCTTGGTGAGCATAAAAGACCTCTTCCAAAAAAATCTTAGCAACCCCCAACTTTTGAACTGTTAAAAATTTACAAAATTCTTAGTTATGTTTCATTTCAGTGCCAACTTTGTCTCAAATGTTTCTCCAATAATTCGCTAGGAGAAATAACACAGAAACATAAGTTATATATCTATATCTATCTACGTATTACTTTTCTGGGTTTGGAAGAAGAAAATTCTCTATTTAATCTCATTGCTATGTGGCAGCATTAAAAGATCTTATTTTTATGATTTTTTGTTCCCATGCACACACACACACACACACTGAATCCCTGTAAAAAACACTGCCCACTATGCCCCATTCTTTTATTCAGTAAATACAGGCCATTACGCCGCCCTGCGTGGATAAGACAGACCTGTTTACCAAAGATTGCTCCTCTCCACCTACAAAGAGAGCCTGTGTGTGTTAGGCTGAGTTTATCTCAGTCTCCTGATCTCTCTCTCTCTGCCTCCCTCACAGTGACCGGGTCACCGCGCACACCCTCTCCTGCGCTGAAGGAGACATATAGATCAGACTTTGACAGCAAGTCTTATCTGATGAGACTGCCTCATGCTTCACAGCTCTCCTCTCTCTCTCACACGCAGGGGATCATCCAGATCCTCAGGTATGAAAACAAAAAGCAGCCGCCCATCACCGTACTGTACCAAAGCGAAACTCAATCCAGAGAGAACTTCCTTCAGGAAGAATCAAATCCGACATAAGAATTTTCCAAAGGCCGCTAGAGACAAAGCATTGCACAGTCTGAATCCATCAGACCAATCGAAACATCGAACTGTTAACAAAAATAAAGTTTCCAGTTAGAGCCAAAGAGACCACAAGAAAACCTTCCACAAAGAAGTAAATATTAATTCTCTAGTTCATCGGGTTCACAAGCCTTTTCTCAGCTGAACACCTTTAACATTAATATTTACTTGAATTATCCTCTTAGATGTCAAGCAATGCTGTAACCTCTCAACAAACAGGCATATTTTAAATAATATATTTGATGACTGTTGTTTTATTGAAGATCAGAGTGAAGTGTTACACACTTTACTGTGGAGTCAACATGAAAAAGGATTCACAAGCCATTTTACTTCTGCAGTGTGATGGCTTTCTGAATGAAAGAAGATATGCAACACGACACACTGTAATGTGTAGTAATCGTATCATAGGCAAAGACATATTTTTAAAATGTTGAATAAAGTGCACTGAAGAATTGTTCACAGTAAGCCAATTTTCATTCTACTGTACTGTTAAATTTAAGCCCAATCGGTGTTATTTCAGCATTTTTAAATACTTTAGTATTTATTAATATTTTACATTTGAATTTTTATATTTTCAGTTTTCATTTTAATTGTAGTAATTTATTTGCATTTGTCATTTTTATTAATTTGTTTTTTAACATTTTTATTTAGCTTTGTTTTTATTTCAGCATTAGTCAATTTAGTACTTCATTTTATTAACTTAAAAATTTGAAATAAAAATTTTCATCTATTTTTTCAGCTTTTTCTATTTCTAATTGTCATTTAGGTTTTATTAAGATTCATCTTATAATTTTATGTATTATAAATTAAATTTGATATATTTATATAATTTGTATATTTTTATTATGTTTTAGCTCTATATTTTACTCTAATACATGTTTAATTATAAATATTTATCTTTATTATACAACAATTTTTAAATAGTTTTAGTTAACACTAACCACACTGAGCCCAATACAATGATATGAAGAATCTATAATATAACTCTCCAAACAGCCATTTAGCCACCTCAAGAACCTACACAGCCAGAAATGACTCTTGATAAGATGAGGGCTGATTGCTGAACCTTTTTGTTAAAAATGAATGGACAGTGATTATATTAGAGCCATATAAACTCCCATAAAGTCCTGGGAGGCAGCAGCTAATCAAGGCTTTATGTAGCTGTGTTTATACCCATGACGTCTTAAAGTTTCACATCACTCTGTTTGTTTTTTTAATTAGTCAAGGGAGAGCAGGCAAAAAGGCCAGCTAATAAAAAGAGACTGCTCACATTAGAGTCTAAGCTCTGGAGCAGATGTAGTTTTACTCTGTTTTTAGGGGGTGAAGAGAAATGACGCCTGTGGAGCGTAGCTGCTGGGCAGACTTCATCAGGACGGATGGCCCAGAGCCACTTCATATCTTTAAACAAGGACATGGTGGCCATAAAGCTGGGCACAGGCGAACGCTTGGGTGGCGTGAGAGAGCAGTCATCAGCCTCAGAGACTGACAGAACGGGCCACTCAAAATGATTCAGCACACGTTGCACAGATTCAATCCATCACACGTGGAAGTGATGTACGAGTGAGCCGCGCTCAGCCCAAACTCATCTCATCTCTTCCTCCGCTCCCCACGGCCCAAATGCAACAGAACGCACTCCGTTTGGCATTTCTGAACAGAGAACAAGCAAATAAACTGCTGCTTATCGACCGTAATGTGGAAACGGCTCTGGTGTCCAGCTGGCCTTCATTAAACAATGCCAGGAACAAAAGAACAACCAAAGACTCAATCCGAGATGATCTGATCATCTTTGCTTACAATAACTATTGTTTGATTCATTTTTCCTTTGCAAATGATGTCTTTAATGTCAAATTTGTCTTTTGACATTACCGTACTTGCACAAATTAAAGATTATTTCCCCACTTTTGTATAATTTGACAGTTTAATTGGAAACTATGCACGCAAATATATATATTTTTAACCTTGATTTTTTTCTTAATTTTTCTCATACATCACATGCTCTGCACTGTAACTGTTGTTTCCTTGGTAACCAAGAACACTAACTTTTGAAAAACTTAATTGGTGACAAAATTGTTGGTTGTGATGCAAATGACATAGAACAGATTATATTAATCACAAATTATATAAATAAATATAAATATAGCACCTTCTCTTTCTGTTTTCCAATCTATGCTTAAATCTTATTTATTTGGACAAGTGACGATGGCTAAAAAGTTTTTTTTTTAAATTCCCAATTGTTTGAGTCAAATGTTTTATAGCATTGTTTGTTTATTAATTTATTTGGCTTTTAATGCCCTTAAGGTAATTTTATGTACAGCACTTTGGTCAACCAATGGTTGTTTTTAAATGTGGTTTATATATGAATGAATGAATGAATGAATGAATGGATGGATGGATGGATGGATGAATGAACAAATTAATAAATAAATGTTTTTATAATGGACTCTCATATTTTACGATTAAATGGTAAAACAATAAAGTCTATACATGCATTTAAAAATATAAATAAATCAGTATGATGGGCTGTCCGCGCGGCTCTCCGTTCTCCAGCCGTGAGTAAACCACCTGATAGCCGCGGATCTGTCCGTGCTGTTTCTGCTGCAGAGGAGGCTTCCAGGACACCCGCAGGGCCGTGGAGTTCACGTTGTCCACCTCAACCCTGCGTGGAGGGGCGCCAGGCACTGTGGGAGGCAGAGAAGAAACGTTTAGAGCTTCATCACACACTCAAAACACACACAGGTCAGCTGAAGGTACAAACCAGCTCCCAGGCTACAGCCAACACATTTGAACAACTTTTTACTTCTGTTATCTGCTCTCCACAATTCACCTCAGACATTACATCTCTCAAACAGTTTATATTTCAAAAAAATTACATGTGTATTTGTTTAATAAAATAAAATTTTACCAATATATTTTACAATTTTTTTAAGGTTTCAAATGTTAATATTATAAGTCTAAGTTTGGGACAAATCAAATTAATAAATAAATGTTTTTATAATGGACTCTCATATTTTACGATTAAATGGTAAAACAATAAAGTCTATACATGCATTTAAAAATATAAATAAATTAATAAATTAATTAAACACTTAAAGTTGTTATGTAAGTAAAAGCACTTGGAAATCTCTTTTCGAAGATAATAATAATAATAGTAGTTTACTGCATTTGTACTATTGTTATTTTACTATATTCACAGTTTTGCCAGAAAAAAATACATGTTTGTCACGCTAATAAAGCACAATAAATTGAAAGGGAATTGAGATTACTAGTCAACATGCAATAAGTTTCAACTACGTGCCTGATGTGTAAATGTATTTATGCAAAAGTGTCAAGTTTGTGTGACAAATAGATGTCCATGTATGACGACTAATGACTTTAAGTTTGCATGAGTGAACGTGTATCTGATAATAAAAACAAATGTGCACAGATGCAAGAATCTTGCTCAAGACTCCTCGTCTCCACACAGCTGACGAATGGAAAAAGAGGTGCCAGTTTATCTGAAAACCCAAAACGAGCATGTGTGAACAGCAGACGAGGTTCTCCACCCTTCAGAGGCGAACGCATCACTGAGAGCAGCTAACGGGAACGAGGCAGATCCTTCGAGGATGCATCTGAACTTTCCTGCAGTTTGACTCGCGTCTCGTTCTGTTCCTTGAGTTCTGACATTCATGAGGCACAGGTCTCTTAGCATCACGCATGCTGTAAGTCATGCATGTAGTGTAATTCCCTGTCACACACACACACACACACACACACACTAAAGCAGGCTGACTGAGAGGCAGATACCTGGAGTCAGCGAGTCGGCGTGCTCCTGCAAGCTAAACGCGCATAACAATCCTACAGCAGCTCTCCACGGCCGGCTGCTCTCTCCCATGAATACTCAGCAAGGATTAGAGCACCACTACAGCTCCTGATCCATTTCAGCAAAAACCAATTCCTCTCAAATACATATATATTAATATTAACTTCATTTGAATAACACTCGCTGAGTTCGGATCATCCCTCTGCAAGCTGGAATTACACTCTTATGAATAAAATTCTTCAACATTAGTTCTCTGACTTCACTTTTGTCAGATTTTTGTCAGATTGAGATGACTACAAACACATGCTTTAAAATGTGGTTGATCTAAAAAATAAATCGATTTAAAATGTATAAAGCACATGATAGTTTACTCGCCATATGTATTCAGAAGCTGTTGGAATGAAAAGTTTATATCGAGAAGGGACATACAGGAAAAAATAGATGTCTATGAAAGAGGTGAAATTGTAGGGAAACTGTGTCAAAAAATGAAGAATGTGTAGTTTAATTTGAAAATTAATACATAATTTTATATGTGAAGTGATAAAAATATATTACTCAAAAAATAATTGAAAATCTTTTATATGTAAAACTTGAAACAGTAGTATTAATGTATGATGTTTAATTATTAATGTAAATAAAGTCTTATTTTCAGTTATATATGACAGTCTAAAGTAACTTTTTTTTTGTTTTTTTTTGGATAGATTAAATTTAGTAGTGGAATGTTCATTTGTGAACATTATTTAACTGCATTTACTAAAAATGCTTCTAAATACTAATAAAGCATTTATTTTAATTTATATAAATAAAATTTTACCAATATATTTTACAATTTTTTTAAGGTTTCAAATGTTAATATTATAAGTCTAAGTTTGGGACAAATAAAATTATAATCTATTCACGTTAGGTATTTTAATAATAATAATAATAATAATAATAATATTTAGATATTACATTTCTCAAATCCACAAAGCCTGCAAAAATGGGCTTTAAAAATAAATAATAAAAGGACATATAATTATAAACTAATAGAATAATAAAATATGTAATATATAAAAAAGTAAAAATTGTATAATAATAATACATGTATAATAATATGCATATAATAATAAATGTATAATAATATGTAATAATAATAAAGTAGGTAAGCTGTTGTCTTTCCTCTTTAATTTTACTTTAGACATTACATTTCTCAAATTCCCAAAAGCCTGCAAAAATGAAAGGGATTGCTCACCCTCATGTTGCACCAAAACTTCATTCACAGATACCATAAAAGCATTCACGAAAGAATTTAGACTGAAATACCAACTTTTTCAATTTATTTCAGTCATTTTTAGGGCTTGACAGCTGGTGGTCACCATAAACCTTAATTGCATGGAAACAACCAGTGTAAATATATATGTCATATAGCTTTAAAACAACATAAGGGTGATACAATTAAGAAGGGTGAACTATCCTTTTGACATGCATTTCACAAACATAAATGTGTTGGACTGAGAGCCTGGGAGACGGGCTTCACCAAACCCACATAACACCCCAGGCCAGCTCAGCTCCCCCTGGAGTTTGGGCTGAATACAGATCCGACTTGAGTGCAAAAGAGTAGCAGTTCAGTAGATGTTAATGACAGTCAATTGATAGTCAATAGAGGAGGCAGTGAAGGGAGGGAAGACAGGAGTGAAGGTTAAAAAGCGCAGCATTGAGAGATTAATAACCAGATAGAGAACAGCCTCTCTCATCCCAGAAGTAACAGCTCAGAGCGCAGAAGATCTATGGAGACTCAAGTGCTGAACGTCAGCAAAATAGGCTGCGCTTAATTGGAGTCATTTAACTGTATAAATGTGCTTGGCGCTGGCTGGAATTCAGCCTTGACCTTCAGACGAGAAAAAAGTGGATGCCTGAAAACAGATAAACAAAACTATAGTGCTCTTCTGCAGATGTGTGACCCGAGCTGGAACGAAAGCATCGACACGGTCAATTTTAACAGCATGTTTGTGCAAGTTTAATACAAGTTCAGCTCACTCGACACCATTTGCAGCATAATGTCAATTACCACAGACACAAATTTGGGGAAAAGACTTGAACTTACAATGGAGTAAACTAGACCAGTGTTGCAGGGGGTTGAAAGCTACTGTAAATGAATAATTCAGTCTGGCACGTTTCATGTGAAAGTTTGCTGGGCATTATGTATTTATGACATTGTTGAAAAACTGCATCTGGCTTTACACAGTAATCCATTCTATCACACATACTTTTATGTTCAATTCCTGTCATAACTCTTTTGAAACTGTGTATTTTAATTAGGGCTGCATAATTATGACACAAATTGTCAATTATTTTCCTTGATATGATTATGTAGATCTGTGATTCTCAAACGTTTTGACTTCAAGCAACCCCATAGTCAAAGATAATAGTTAAAGGCTGATCATTTTCATACATTTACAGGGCGGAAATATATTAAAATAATTAACTTTATAATTAATATAATTATCCTAAATAAGCAACATAATTAAATTTCATAATCACAACAACTGAATTTTCTTCATTGTTTACACTTTTTTACCAATGAATAAACATGACTTTTCTAGTTATTATAATTTTTTACTGACAAATAGCAATTTCCATCCATATTACACCCCAATTTCCATCCAATTCAAATTATTTTAATATTTTTTAAATTCCTTAAGATCAATGTTTTTCCCCCCATATTTTCAATTTCCATGACTTTACCAGATCTACAAATTACACTTTTAAAATTCCCTCATGCAATCTAAAAAAAAAGGCAGCTGTTAAGGGAAGAAATTAAAATAAAAAAATATAATTTCAGCTTATATCTTTAACTGTTTTAGCTTATTTTAAACCTTGTTATTTTAAGCCATTTTGTGGCCCCCTGGTTGAGAACCACTTGTGTAGACTATTATTTTTAAATAATTATGCAGTTCTAAAATTTATGTCCAAGTACTATGTACTAACTTTCTAAGTGTTACACACTTTCACAAAAAAATGGTAACTAAAATTAAAGAAATAAAAAAAAAACGATGTACTTTTAAAGTGCTAATATGTACCATTAAGGTACTCATATGTTCTATTTAGGGGAAAATAAAGTACAAAGATGTACATTTTAGCTTTTGTACCTTGTTGCGCCGCTGTGACAGCTCTCTACTTTTTCCTAAGAGTGCATTAATCATAATCTCAAAACAAAACAAAACATTTAAGAAGTCAAAAGTATTTTCTGTGGTAATCGATGTTATGTCACAAGTGCTGTCGATAGAGCTTAACTCGTATTGAACGCGTAACATTCCTTTGAGGGATGAAAGCACAGACTGCTTCTCAAATCTTCCGGCTCCTTCCTGACGTATGAATCCACCGTCTCACGCTCACTCAACTTTCACTCGCTCGTTTTCTCGCTCTCACCCCACGTCTCCATGGAAACTGTACCAACTGGAGGGGACAGGTTCACACTACACTCGCTGCTCACAGCCACTTCATGCCACTCCAGCTCTTAAAGCACATTACCCAGAGTTCCAGGCATTAAGGCAATATCGCAGGGAAATTACACGTGTGCTGGCAGGATCCGTAATATGATAAAGATCAGAGATCACCTGAGATCAGCGTAAGGCCCATAAGGGTTCTCAGCCCGGCCTCATGCAGGAAGTGTGAAAACCAGGACGTGGTCAACCGAGACCTGCTTCATGCATCACAGACCACATCTAATCACAAGCTGCTAATATGCAGCACAACACATGGGCCGCTTTTATAAGGCAGTACGTTTCTGTGAGAGTTTCTAATAAGAAATACAGCTTGCATTCAGATCCTGTGTGCCGTGACCTTGCTCAAACCCGGCAGCCCAGCACTTTGCTTTCCTGCGTAAAAGACATTCATAACTGCAGTGAATAAACTATCAAGCTCAGAACGCCTCAAACCAAAGTGTGCGCTTTGATTTATGAGAATACACAAGTTAAGAGGTTGAGAAATGCAAAAAACGCTCTGTTCTGTCTGGGATTCGCTAACGAACGATCTCGTCGCAGCAGTTCTGCTTGATGAATATGGATGTCAGTGAGCTTCTCTGAATGGGCGGAAAAGGTAAGAAGAACCGATGGAAAAGTTTACAGATAAAAAGCACAGCTAATTTATCAATGGCTGCACCTGCAGCCTCGCTTTTTCACTTTCAGTCAGCGCCGTTAAAGCCTTATCAGCCACCGCAGCGCATTATTCTCGCCAGAATATGCAAGAGAAAACTCAATAGCTTGATTTATCTCATTTTGGCCTGATTAATAACCCTCCAAAAGAAGCTGAAATGAAACTGAACAACGAGTATAAAGTTCAGCAGCTTCCAAGTTTAGTGCATCAACTTTAAAACAGGCCCCAGGCCTGCATCAATCTTTCGTTCAGAGTTTTATTCCTTGCTAAGCTTAGCATCACTATTACTATTGCTCATGCTTGATTTAATATAGGCTTACATAAAATATACTATTACTATTTTAAGCAATCAGTCTTACAATTTTTGCTCTGCAGATGGTAAAATATTTCACAAACTTACACTGCAGGAAAGATTCAAGCCATATCTAGAGACCAGAATAGGACAGAAACAACCACCCAGAACACTCCAGCAGTGTATATCAGCACCAGAGCAATCACCCACAACAACTACACCGTTCAACAGTTTGGGGATGGTAAGATTTTTTGATGTTTTTGAGAGAAGTCTCTTCTGCTCACCAAGGCTGCATACTGTATATTTGATCTACAAATACAGTAAATACAGTAATATTGTGAAATATTATTACAATGTAAAGTAACTATTTTCTTTGTGAATATAATTTATTGCTGTTGTCAAAGCTGAATTTTCAGCATCATCACTCCAGTCTTCACTGTCACATGATCCTTCAGAAATCATTTCAATATACTGATTACTATCAATGTTGAAAACAGTTCTGCTGCTTCATATTTCTGTGGAAACTCATACATTTTCAGGATTTTTTGGTGAATAGTTCAAAAGAACAAAAATTTATTTAAAAATGAAATGTATTTACTGTCATATTTGATCAATTTAATGCATCCTTGCTGAATAAAAACATTTATGTTCTGAATATTAGACTGGTTAATTGTGATATTAATTACCACCACTATTTTTTTTTTTTACATTTTTAATTATGCTGTGCCACTTTATTAAAGCAAATTTAAGGCACACAACATTAATGTCATATGTGTTCTGGGAAAGATGAAAGGAATCAATGAGTGTTTATCCTGTTATGAATCAAAAGGGCTGATTTTACCAGGGCTGCATGTGATGGGTTAAAATGAAACAGAAAAGAGCACTTTCTTAAGGGAGAGAGAAACTGCCACTGCAAGCAGCACTGGTAGCGACCACTAGAAAAAGAAAAAAAAAACTTGCCTCCAGGAAAAAGAGAGATACAAAGAGAGAAGAGGGGAGATGGGATATAAGAAAGAGAGTGTGCCGTTTGATTGACAGGATTAACAGACGAGGGACATGTACTTCCGGCTTTCACTTGTCAATCAAACCGCTGAGCCCAGTGGAGACAGAAATGTGCAGCATTAAACGAGCCCCCCACATATGGACAGACTCACACTCATGCACATACACTCAGAGTATGATGTAACTACATTTTTACATTTCATGTGAGCGCTGTTTGCTCATGCAAAACTCACTGCTAAGATGCTAGGATGTCATGGGCTAAGCGGCTGTCAGAGTGTTCAGGGAAGTTGCTTAGTGGATACTCATTGGCCCAAATCTAATCTTGTGATATTCTATTCTAAATATATAAATAGAGTCTGGTTTGTCCTTCAATGTACACTACCATTTAAAATGTTGGGGTCACTATGGTTTAATTTTTTAAAAAGAAATTCCTAGTTTTACTCAGCAAGGATGCATTTAATTCAATGATGACAATGATGTAGTAACAAAAAAATTCTATTTCAAATAAAAATCGAACTTTCTATTCACACAAAGAATACTGAAAAACAATGTATGCAGCATGACTGTTTTCCACATTGCTAAAAATCAGAAATGTTTCTGGAGCAGCAAATCAGCATATTAGAATGATTTCTGAAGGATCATGTGACACTGAAAACTGGAGTAATGATGCTGAAAATTCAGCTTTGATCACAGCATTAAATTACATTTTACAGTATATTCACATAGAAAATAGTTATTGTAAACTGTAATAATTTTAAAAAATATTAATATTTTTACTGTATTTTGATCACATAAATGCAGCCTTTTGAACAGTTGTGTAAGTCTGTGGAATTTTTCCACCCATTTGATATTAACTATGGGTAACAGTAATAGTAATACTTGTTTTAGTTACATCTATAAGAACCTTCTCTAAATAAAGGTCCATGTTGGTGTGTGGGAGCGTCTCGATGTGCCGCGTGAACCCCACCGAAACTCTCCGTTCGCCCACTCATTCTCTTTTCATCGCACAGCAAAGACTGACTCACAGAACAAAACACCAGCACTGTCCTGAACTTTCACTCCACTATAGAGACAGAGAGACCAGCTCCTGCTCTCTTGCTTCCTGTGTCTGCTGCACCAGAGCTGCACATTAATAACAGAAGAATGAAGAACAGCAGGCATAAACTCCAGCGTAACAGAAGAAAGAGAGAGAATCACACAGGGAGGCGTGGATTCATGCCGTTCTCTCAGGAAACCCGGAGCGAAGAGTTAGTGCTGGTGAGTTAGAAGGTGCGGAGAGCAGATCTGGAGCACCCGTGAGCCGAGCATTACCGTCCTCTTTGGTTCTGACGCGGGTGCTGCTGCTCTCCGGGCCGGGTCCCACGTCTGTGTGCGCTTTGACCCTCACCACGTACTCCGTCCACTTCTCCAGCCCCTCCAGCACGTAGCTGGACACATCCGCGGGGATGTCCTTGACCTCGTGACGTTGCTGGTCCTCGCCTGACACCGCCTGATAGGCCAGAGAGTACCTGACGATGTTGCCGTGGCGACTGGCGGCTGGAGGAGCCGCCCAACTCACCTTGATGCTGGTGGAGCTGAGACTGATCAGGTGCACTTCCTGTGGGGGGGCGGACGGGGCTGAAAAGGGGTGCAGGAACACATGAGCTGGGACCTGTTGCATAAACTTAGCCTCTGTGTGTCTTAAGAACTTGTCTGACTAACAAGTAGTTTGCCAAGGGGTAATCGGTCTTACTTTTCAGATTCAAATTAGATCAGTCTACCTTTTTATGTAACTGACTTTAAGTTATGGGTAACTTGTATGCAAGTTTATGCAACCGGCTAGCAATGAACATAAAGGTTCTTTGCAAAAATTGAGTTTAAGAATTTAAGAACCCAGGATTCTTGAGCTGGCAAATACAGTAAACAAACACAAACATATAGAAATAAGTATAAACATGCACCATGAAAACTCATTTTGGAGGATTCCAAATAGACTATTTAGTCATCCTTTGATTTACTGTTCAAAAGTTTGGGGTCAGAAAGGTGTTTTTTTTTTTTTGTAAAGAATACTAATTTTATTCAGCAAGAATGCTTTAAAGTGATCTAAAGTAAAAGTAAAGAATTTTAAAATGTTACACAAAAATTATATTTCTACTCATCAAAATGTATTCTGGTTTCCACAAAAATATGAATCAGCACAACTGTTTTAAACAATCAGAAATGTTTCTTGAGCAGCAAACCAGCATATTAGAATGATTTCTGAAGGATCATGTGACACTGAAGACTGGAGTAATGATGCTGAAAATTCAGCTTTGTGTCACAGGAATAAATTAGATTTTAAAATGTATTTTAGAAAATAGAAAACAGTTGATTTAAATTGTAATAATATTTCACGATTTTACAGTTTTTACTGTATATTTGATCAAATAATTGCAGCATTGGTGAGCAGAAAAGACTCCTTTCAAAAACTTCTTACCAACCCCAAACTTGAATAGTAGTGTATGTCTGTTAGAAGATGAAAAGTGAAGCCTTACTGGGGTCTTTAAAGCAGTGATACACAAATCTTTAAGCATTGCAAAAATTATGATTTTTTGAAAACTAAACAAAACATGAGATTAATCACAATTCATCTATTTTGTGCTGTTCTAAAGTTAACCAAATCTGGAACCCATTTAAGTCCCTGTAGTTGAGAATCACTGCTTTACACACCAATACAATATAGTCTTATAAACGACTGCACTTTAAAAGTTTCTGCATCGTCGTCAAGATTTAAAACAATTTTTGGAACCTTTGTTTATAAGAGCAAATACTGCATTATTTTAAAAAAAAAGTCTGCACATACTGTAGTCTAAATATTGTGTTTTGTGGTGAAAGCAGAGATTGATGGCTCACTTCTACTCTGTATCTGTGTAAGTATGACAGAGATAACAGATACATTCTGTCTGACACACTGTCTTTGGCTAGACATGTAATTGATGTGATTGATGGCCTGTCTAGTGTCTGAGATGCTCTATCGATTTATTTTTGAAATCACAGAAAATCCCGCTGCTCCTGTCTATCCCGTCCTGAGAACACGGCAAACTAAAACAATATACAGTAGGATTATTACACGGCTCTCTGGAATACTCGATTCTGACTGAAGAAGCCATTTATCTATGCACATAATTTTTTTTAAGCAGCCATTAGCAAACGACAATTCATGATGGACAAAAGTCCCACCCTGCTTTTTTTTTCATATCACTCTGATATAAGTCACAATATGGAAGAAATTATCACAATTCTGTTTCATGCCAACTTTAAAGTGTTTACGCTGCTCTTTTGCTGCTTTTTAAGCAAAAACATCAAGTATATGAGTACATGACAAACATGGTTTAAAGATGATTAATACTCAGAAATATTAGATTTAACTGCACTCTCGGATAAGTACAAAATTTGAAATGAATTAAGCTGAATAATGACAATATTAGAGCTGCTTTATAGCTGAAATTGAATTTGTTTCATAAATGATGCCACTTACAACCTTAAAACTGTTGTGTTACTGTGAAGCTGCTTTGAATCAGTGTGAAGTGCTATGTAAATAAATGTGATTTAACTTCACTATGAACATTCAAGATTTTCCTTTTGTGTTCAGAAGCCTACTGAGTCACTACCATTAAAGTTGGGTTAACATGCTCCCTTATAAGGTAGCTGCTTATGTAGGATCTGGCACAGAATTACAGAGACAGAAAGACAGAGGGAGTTTGGTGTCTCAGGTCTTTGAAGACAGTGACTCAGAGACGCTAGGACAAAAAAGACGGACTCGGAGACGTAAAGAAAAAGCCAGTGTTTCTATGGGAACCAAGAACAGCTTAGGAACGGCTTAGATCAAACCTCTCAAAGCTGACATAGCAGGAGATCTCTCGGAGGAGCTGTCATAAATATCTCAGCTTTGGTCCATATCTCTGGAGCCGGAGGAAGATGAGGACAGAGATTAAGCCATACTGACTGCGTCATTCTGACGCCACCGAGAATACACACAATCAGAGCGTGGCGCACTCCACGGTCACTGCAGCTCTACACGGACTCTGAACCACAAACCAGAACCTCCTGGGCTTTTGACGCTCAAAAAGCTGGTGTGATGCAGCTGAAGTGCTGTGCATGAAACAGACGCCAGTGCTGCTCTGCTCTGGAAAACACAGGGTCCTTTGTATGGCGATAAGGCGAGATAGATAACATTATATAGAGATATTTTAATCTACACTTTTATGGCATTTTATTTTTTTCCACTGATGCCACGTGTAATGTTTGTTAATTAATGTGTCTTGAGCCAAAAATAATCATGCATTCTGTGTACCAATGTAGCAAATATTTCAAGATGACATTTTTGTGCTTTTGATGGTCAAATCTTTGCATTTTATTTGTAAACTCTTGCACTAAATGTTTCATTTGTTTTAAGTGAGTGATATGGTGCAGCATGGTTAACAAAACACAAATGGAAAGCTGAAAACATACCTTATTAACAATCTTCAGGCGAGTGACTAGGCCAGTATTGAGCTGCTAAGAAATGGTCATAGTTTGAGTTAGTGAACAGCTGGCACTTACTGGACTGGGCCGTCCGGGCCTCTATGGGCTGTGTGTACACCCCAAGTCCCATCTCAGAGCGAGCGGCTAGAGTAAACTTGTAGAGTGTGTCTGGCTTCAGGCCTTCAACAGCATACGAACCAGCTGGGTTAAAGATGATACGGTGCTGTGACAGATAAATGACAAAGACAGAGTGAGACACACACATAGGCTTTTCAGAATGCATTATTAGTATACTAATACAGTTAGTGTACAAGTGCAGTACAGTACATACTTTGTAAAAATATATGTGAAATTGTATGCAGTATGTAATAAACTGCTCTGTAATATGCAATGTTGTCATTGTTAAATAAAACTTAGTAACAGAAATAAAACTGGAAAAAAAAATAAAACATGTACTTAAAAAAGTATATGTTTAAAAACATGTTTAAAAAACACTTGAAAGAAAATTTGAAATTTTGCCCTGGCAACTAAACAAGTTTTAAGTTGAAGTACTAAAATGATCAAAACTAAAACTGAAATAAATATAAAACATATATAAAACGATATAAATATAAAACGATAAAAGCACAACAACGTTAATAAACGTATGTTTTTTTAATAAAAATAAATAAATATTTATATAGTTGATATATATAGTTGAGATTCAGTGATCTTAGCTGTTACCTTGTTGTCAGAGTCAGCCTCCCAGTATGTGAGCTCATATTTGGTGATCTGATCCTGAACGGGCCACAGCCATGACAGCATGATCCGGGTGTCGAGCTCTGCCTCTGCTTCAAAACCAGTGGGCTGTGCCGGCACTGCAGTCAGAAACAGAGTTTGTCTTACTATACACTTAAATCACACATTCTATTGACGTTTGAAGCTATCTTTTTCAACGTCTTTCAATAATCTTATTTTTGTAATGTCTCAGAATTATCTTTTCTTTTCTCAGCACATATTAATTATTTTTTTTTAACTAAAACTAACATTTTTTGTTAACTTGAACAAAGCTGAAATAAAATATAAATTAAAAATAAATAAATAAAATGAGAACTGTTGCCTTAGCAACTAACTGAAATAAGTTTAAGCTGAAGCACTAAAATGATTAACTCGAAACTGGAAAATAAAAATTAAATCAAAATAAATTTCAATCTAAACAGTAATATTTAAAAAGAACAAACACTACTAAAAATTATAAAAGCACAAATTACAAAAAATTTAATCCATAAAAACAAAGACAAAAGGATCAATAACAACAACATAGTTGACATTGCTAAATTAAACCTAAACAGTATTATTTAAAAAGAACAAGAACTAATAAAAATGACAAAAGCACATATTTTTAAAAAAAGTACAAAAAAATGTAATTAAATAAAAATGTAATAATAAAATACAAAAATGAAAAAATAAAAATAAAAGCTAATTAAAAATAATACAAAAAACTGAAATTAAAACTAATACTAAAATAGCACTGATATTGATATCGTGCTTTTATTGAACAATAAATTACATGGGCACACATCTTACCTCCTTGCTGTGTTTTAACCTGCAGTATGTCCGAGGGCGGCCCGTCTCCCACAGAGGTGAACGCCAGCACGCGGAGGCCGTACGTGATGTCAGGTACCAGGCCGGAGATAGTGGTCAGGCTGCTGTCCTCTGTGTTGTGTTTCTGCCATGTGCTGAGCGGGAAGTGCATGTCGGGCGTGTAGTACACTCGATATCCTCGTATCTGTCCGTTGGGCTCCTCTGGAGGTTCCCACTGCACCAGCATGGTCGTGGCGCTCAGCATCCGGGCCTGAACGCGCAGGGGAGGAGACGAGGGCGCCTGTTCACTGGTGCGGGTCTCCACCGTCCCGCTGGGCGGCCCGCGGCCGATGTTATTGACCGCCATGACGCGGAATTCGTACTCAGAGTACGGGCTCAAGCCACCGATGCTGTAGCGCGTTGACGCCACTCCGTCTACTTCCTGGAAGCCATTGTCTGAGACTTTGGCCCTGTACTGATCAGCTCACCCTATTTCCACAGGCGGGAAGAAAAATGCCTGCATTGTCATCAAATAGCTTCTGAAATCGACTCTAAACAACTTCTGTGCTATATGCGATTGGACAGCTGTCAGAATCCAAACAGATCAGCTTGAATAAGCAGCAGCAGTGTGGAAAAGGATAGAAAAATCCAGTGAAGCCTGTGGCCGTGTGCTGCTTTAGGAGGCTTAAAGAGCCACAGCTGCTACAGGCCAAGAAATCCCAAAACACATGATATTAACCTCAGCTAACATGATAACGCATGACGGAAAACGGTAGTGAGAAAAACCCGCTGTAATGCAGGTACACTCAACACGCTTTAATCAATGCTAATGTTGTAACTCAACTCTATTTGCCAGAATTGAGCTGAAATTCTCTTTGACTCTTTATTTTAAACACTTCCCTAGATACACCAGTAAACGCTTGTCGGTTCACTGACTAATGAAGCTCAGAGCAGCGCACATTTACAAACTGATACAGTACAGTAATCAGTGCTGGGTAGATATTTACAAAGTCTGTTACTGATTCCAAGTTACATGACATGTATAGTCAGTAACGTAATCCATTACATTACACATTTTAGGTAAGATAATCTGACTACTTTTTATTACTTTTAGATTACTTTTGAACTAGCTCGTTTATCGAAATGATTTAAAGAGGATAATCATGTACCATATTGACATAAAATACAAAGAGAAAGAGAATATATTCCATTCATTGTTATTAACAACACAAAGTGCTTTAAACATTACGTCAAGGTTTCCCAAACTGGGGTCCGTGAAGGAACTGTGAGTTTACTGAAAAGCTAATAATTATTAAATCATAAAAATTTCAAATAAAATAAATCATTTGAAAATAACAACGATCAAAATAAAATATATTTTTTTAAAGTTTAAATATTTTATTTGTTTACCCGCATGTCATGTGACCATTAGCCAACATCAGAGAACCATGAACATGCATATGTGTTAATTATTACCTTAAAATCTCAGGGGTACTTTAAGTAAATATGTATATAAGGTAAAAAAAGTTCGGCTGACAAAAAATGTTTTTGAAATCCCTGAATTACATGTAAATAAAAAAAAAATTTGAGAATCAATAAATTATCAAGAATTTATCGCTATTGTGTGAATAATATGTAATCATGAAATGAAAAAAAAAAGTAATAATATGTAATCATGAAATGAAAAAAAGTTACTGTAGTCTGAGTAACTTAAAATGTAATATCATTTAATTACAAGTACTTAATTTTTGGAATCTGATCCAGATTACATGCAATCAGTTACTACCCAGCCCCGCATACTATGTGGTTGCCAGGGTGTTGCTATGCTGTAGCTAAAGTGTGCTGAGTGGTTTAGAGCGAGTTACTATGTGGTTGCTATTGTGTTCTAAATTGTTCAGAGTGAGTTGTTAAAAATAGTGAGTTGTGCTTACTAGCTAGACTTAAAGAACCCATTCCCAGGGTTGTATGATATTCTGGTCTCTGAGCACACCTTCAGTGAGAGCCTGTTTGTGTTTTAGAGTAATTTTATTGTTTAAATCTTTAAACCATTCTGTGTGAACAACAGTATTTACAACAACGACACAGTGCAGCCCCTTTCTAGATTTCACAGCACAGTAATAAAGAGAGTGTGCTCTTTCAAGCAAACGTTTAACATGATAAATTTGGGACAATGAAATTTTTCAAATGGATTCATTATTGCGTTACAGCCCTAAAAATAATCCTTAATGATGATTCGGAGCTCAGAGATTCTGTTCGCTCTGTCAAGGTGGAATAAAGGAGGAGAGAGATCTCCTCATCACATTTCAGCTCTGATGAAACATTGATGAGGTGATTGCATGCGCTGTCTGTCTGGGTCAATGGGAATCCCCATGAGTGTGTTATTGATGAGATTTCACTCTGGGTTTCTGGGCCCAGCCTCCAATCTGATTAGAGCAGCTTTGTTTATTACCATCTAAATAATCACAGATAATCAGCGACTTTAAGTACACAACTGATATCAGCGCTAGCTGTATGGATCACTTGGGGACAAAGATTAAGAAAAGCAATTTATTCGTTTAAATTAATGTAACCAGGCATACTTCATTACTTTTAGGAATATTGCTACTTTATTTGAATATAAATGTTTCTGCAATTGTAGTATGCATAACTGATTCACAAACAAATTATTTTTTTTTTTTATGTTTTGGCCAAACCAACAAATTAACAACTAATTTTTATTTTTGGTGTTATTGATTGACTGATTGATTGATTGATTGATTGAAAGAAAAAATAACTTTTATTTAGCAAGGATGCAATAAATCAGTCAGTAAAGACATTTATACAATTACAAAATAATTTCATTTCAAATAAATGCTATTTAAAATTTCACAGTATGCACAAAATATTAAGCAGCACAACTGTTTTCAACATTAATATTAATAAGAATAATAATAAATGTTTCTTGGGCATCAAATCAGCATAGAATGATTTCTGAAGGATCATGTGAAACTGAAGACTGAAGTAATAATGCTGAAAATTCAGCTTTGCATGACAGAAATAAATTACATTTTAAAAATATAAAAATGGAAAACAGTTATTTAAAATTGTATTACTATTTCACAATATTATTATTTTTTTCTATATTTTAGATCAAATAAATGTAGCATTGATGAGCATAAAGACCTCTTTCAAAAACATCTCACGACCCCAAACCTTTGAGCATTACGGTACATTCACATGGGGCGTCGACGTTATCGCTTCTCATTTACTTTGAATGGGTGATGTCATGCACTGCCGAACTGAATTGTGGGTCTGTCGGCGTCGCGTCACTGGCGTTGCTCGCGGCAGAAGTTAAAAATTTCTCAACTTTTCAAGCGCCAACGGAGGCGTCAGCCAATCAGATCGCCTTATGCAAAAAGCCTAGCTCAGGCGCTAGCCAATTGCAATGTAATTGGCTGTTGTCACTATGACGATTGCGTCAGCGCCAAGCTTCAGACACACCCTCCATCAACCGTTGACGCCCCGTGTGAATCTAGCGTTAGTGTATCTTTAATTATATTTAAGCATGACTATTGAATACTTTTCATATAAGTGCAAGCCTTAAGTAGATCCTGTGTGATTTATATCTCAGGTGTCTCTTACCTTTGACGGTGATCTGAGCCGTGGTGTCGATCATGCCCAGAGAGGATATAGCTACACAGGTGTAGTTAGCAGACTGTTGTATGTTGGTGAGCTCCAGCACATTTCGGCCAATAGGCATCTCCTCCTCTTTGGTAAGTTCCTGTTCCCCCTTCATCCACTTCACATAGGGCATGGGAGCGCCCACCGCCACGCAGGTGAGGTTCACGCTGCCACCTGGCATCACCTCGTGATTGGTAGGCGGGATTGAGAAACGTGGCGGAACTCGCCGGACTGTTGGAGGAGCGCAGATGATGTTATAAGCAGAATACAGATACAGTAAGGCAGAGAATATGCTTTAGGAATGGCTCTGGCTATACACCAATGACATCTAGGGCTGTATTTGAGTGACTGTACTGTAAATATAAGAGATATGAAATATGAATTAGCTCTCTCTATATCTTAATGATTAATCTGAACAGACAAATGACAAGCTAAATCAGGGGAACAGAGTTGAGAGCCTTAATATAGTAAACATTTACCATATAAGAGTCTGTTTTGACAGTAAATACATCTCAAGGCCTTTTTTGTCTCTACAGTCAAGTCTCCTTATTGTCTCATTAAATGCAATTTCTGCCAAATCGCTCGAAAGCTAGTCACCATTACTGAATGAACTCCGTTTGAATTACAAATACATACTAAAAATGCAGAAGAAGAGGGTCGTCAATCAAGGTGGTCATAAAATCATTTCTTAAGCTTTAGTCTAGTAGCACTGAGGTGTGCAGTGCTTTTTTCTACACTTCAGGTCTCTGTCACACTATCTTGGGCCGACAGATGTTCAGGACCTCAAAGAGACAGTGGACAGGTGAATGTCACACCTCAGATTTGAACTTTAGACTTTCTCATCACTGTGACTGATAGCTTAGCAGTGCAATGCACATTTCCTTTATCATTTCATAGATATAAAGAGGGACATTCAGACTCTGAAAGCTCGGATTTCACTGAATTTCCTCAGAATTCAAATGCCAGTCATTTATAAAGTTTTAAACATTCACCACCTCTTGCATGCTTGTTAATTAAAAATACAGATCATTTGATTATGCTTTCAGCCCTCAATACGACTGTCAGATCTGTTTAACACACTTCAGCACATTTAATGTCTATTTTGGAAATTCTGGTAAAAAAAAAAAAAAACTTTGTATATGCCTTATTTAAATGATGGCATGACAAGTTTTTTGCAAAGAAATGCATCTAATTTATAGATCAAGAATGGCATAATTTGTCAGCAGGAGATTGTGACTCTCCTCACACACATTTATTTGGTGTGAAGCCAAAGCCATACCATCCTGTCCACTGAATACACAGCGAACACACTGTGTATCTGCAGAGCTACCCATAACGAGGAGCATTTTCTGTAGACTTCATGGGTAAACAGCCTTCTGGGAGCGTCCATGGAGAGCCCGCTAATAAACCGATCTTTTATAATGTCTCTGCTTATATAAAGTGGAATTGTTTTCAGATGGCAGCTGAGTTTAACAGGGAGCTCTGCGGCCAGACACCTGCCTATATTTCACAGATAAACAAGTCTCACTTCTGACAGACTCCAACTCACTTCCAAATCCGAACATTACCTGTTCATTTCCTTGTCATTACCTGCTCATTTCCTCACACAGGAAATTATTGCGGATAAATGAGGAAAGTATGTGGCTGAGGGATTACAAATGCTCAGTATTTATTTGACTTGAATGCAGTTTCTGGAAAGTAGCGCGCTAACTATCACCCAAACTCCAACAATAATCAGTCATCTCTCTCTATCCCAGTATACATGCTTTATTTGGGTACAGTTGCCACTTTCTGAATTATTACAGTAGGTAAGGTTGGTAACACTTTATTTTACAGTGTCCATGTTACAGATGTTACATATACTTACTATAGTAATAAAAATAAATTATGCATAATTACATGCAACTAACCCTAAACCAAACCTTCATCCTAACCATATAAGTACAAGAAGCTCATTAATATTACTCAATACTTAAATGTATAATTACAATGTAACAAGGACAAAGTAAAATAAAGGGCTTCACTTTATTTTAAGGTGTCCTTGTTACAGTTTAATTAGACCTTTAAGTACTGCGTAATATTAATTAACTGCATGTACTTACCATATGGTTACGGTTAGGGTTAGGATTAGGGTTTGGGTTAGGGTTACTTGTATGTAGTTATGCATAATCTATTGTTATTACAATAGTAAGTACATGTAACGTGTAACAAGGACGCCTTAAAGTGTTACCAAATAAAGTGTAACCATAAGGTTTAACTGTTTGTGTCAATTGTGGCTGGTTGGCCATGTCATTACAAACATTTACTGTGTAAGAAAATACTGCAAATTTGTGTGATGTGACAAATCTGTCCGTGATGAAAGTTAAATAATGTGTGCAGCAAGAAAAAACTAGCCAATCAAATATGTAGAATGAGACTTTCAACCAATGAGATTCCACTGTGGGTAGAGCTTCTTTATGCAATGCAATGCAAAAAAATAAAAGTAAATGACAAACAATAGTAGCTAGTTAAGGCAAAAACAGCGATTGGTTAGGCCACGTTATTTTTTAACCACATAACTTTTAACTCGGTTTTTGTAATTTGAACATATTGCTGAGGTTCAGGTACAGTAAATCAATATTTATTGCAAATTCATTAATTCAAGTCAGGTAAACACTGAGCAAACTGTGCTTATGGTGTGTGATCTGTACTGTCCATGGCCAGAGGCTGCCGGACTGATCATCATCTCTGAGAGATAAGCTCAGTTTGGACTTTTGGGATTGAGTTAAATTGGTTAGTCGGCAGGAATGCCTGCAGGTGTAAGAGTGTAAGAGGGACGTCACATTAATCCACGTTAGTCACTGTACATAGAGAGGATGATGTTACCCATGGACATGAGGGATGGTCACGACATGATGGCAAGAGTTTCACTCAGTTAGAGGTTGTTAAGAAAGTTTGAGAAGTCTCTGCTGGCTAGTAAAACAGACCGGCGTGAGCGATGTGAGCGATGCCAGCGGCCGTGGTGAGATTAGAGAATGGGCTGAGCTGATTTTAGTCACTGATCTCGTGAGAATATTGCTGGGAGTGTTAACAGAGCAATGAAAGCTTGCAGTTAGACATGCAGAGAAACACATACGCATGCATGCACACATGCAATCTGAAGAGAGAAAGAGAGCGCAAGGAGAGAGAGAGGAGGTTTTGAAGGGGAGGTGATTGCAGGTAGCAAGGTTTATTCAATGCAAAAGCGATTTCATACACACATGCACACGGACACACACAACAATCCCAAGCACATCAATGGCCGTGCAAGCATGAAGCAAAAAAGCACACATAGGCGATAGTCAACAGAGCATGCATGTGTGACCTACAGACTAAAACACCAATAAATGAAAAAACAATCCAAACAAATGCATCAAAGAATGTGCAAAGAACAGTGCAAAGAATCCAATTTCAGCTTCGTCTGATCAACAGAAAAAAATACGGTTGGATAACTCTCCGAAACAAGCTGTGATCAGAGAGGGATTCCACAACAAGCAAACTCCTGATCCTGACAATGTTTCTGCTTTCAGGGATGGACACTACATTTGAACCGTCTTCTGCAGTGTCAACTCGCTGTAAATCTTCTGGTCTGAGGTGGATTATTGGAGAATCATTCTCTAATCAGCATCAAAGCCGTGCTTTACAGATTCAACCAACTCAAATAAAAGTCTTATACGAATACTGAACAAGCCAAAAGAGAAACGTGAACTCAGGGTCAAAGAAAAATATGCCAAAGAAGAGTAAAACTGCCAGGTTAGCTGGCTTTGTTAGAAACTGCAACATACTATAGTCTGGCCCTCATTGATATAAGGTTGCATCTAGAAAAATAAAAAAACTAAATGAAGAAAAAAACTAAAATATATATGTAATATTAGTGACAAAGACAGTGCTTATCTTCTAACAAGTGGAAAATTTATCATTTAGAATTTAATTATGATATACTTCAAAGAGAGGAGGAGAACGGATCATTTCATTTATGATGCTTTTCTCTGACACAAATAAGCAATAAAGTATTTTTTATTGTCAGGGAGGAAATTATGTAGATTAATTAAAATAACAAAACATAGTTTCCTGGCCAGTAATAAATATTAATGGCCAGCAATTCACTCCATATTGGCACGTGTGGCAAAAAAAAAAAAACTTGGGCAAACTTCCTCAGCAGATGTGCATGAATGTTCTCTATAATAGACCAGGTAAGTCAGAACTAAGACTACAGGGATTATTCGTGTTGAAATGTCTCATTTGTGCTCTGCAGGTGCCAATGAGAGACTGCAGAACAACAGCGCTGCAGATATCTCGCCCGAGGCCACATAAAGTGAATTATGCATTAAGACATGAAGACCTGAAGAGATGATCAGCACAGAGATCGGAGTGATCTAGAAACGACTGCCAGAAACCTGGGTCATGTTAACCCAACCAGAACCCCTTATCAAGAACCACTGCTATGGTTATTTGAAAGTTCTTGATATTCTTCAGATGAGTCTATAAGTGTACTGCGTTAGGCTAACTGAGACTTGTCATAGCACTTGCATATCATTGCTCTTTTGTTGATTTTGATTGCTTCCATTGTCCTCATTTGTAAGTCGCTTTGGATAAAAGTGTCTGCTAAATGACTACATGTAAATGTAAATGAGTCTACTGGTTTCTGGAATTTTAAAGCAATGTCACCTAGATGTTTTTTAACTCCTAAATCTATCTATCTATCTATCTAATCATTTTCATTACTGTAATGTGAAAAAATTTAATTATTTAAATGGTAAAAAAAAAGTACAACTTTAAGTATAATACATGGGTAGTTCTTGTTGTACTGACTTTATTTAATGCATAAAACTAAGAAAATATTGTCTTAATGCAATTATGGCTTATGGCATTCATGGCTTATGGCTTATGGCATTCTTTTTCTGGTTTAAACCGGGAACTCATTTTTTTAGTGTATTTACTGTGTTAGAAACAACATACTGTCAAAGAAAAACCAGGACTATTTTCCTTGAGCTTTCACACTTCAAAGGGAAAAAGCTAATTTGTCAATGTCATTTGATGTTCTTGCCCAACTGAAACAGCTTGTTTCTGTGATAATGTGACATGAAGAGGACATTGTCTTCCTCCTATATGAAGAACAGATGCCCGGGTTCAACCGCTCCGGGTTTTTGGAAGGATAATGACGCTTTTTTAAACAAAAAACGCTGGGACGAAAACCTCTTTTGCTTTCTGCC